AGCGATTTCTGCCCAGAAACTCAAGGTTTTATTTTATGGCTGCAAGTTTTTAGCCCGTCACGTTCTCACTGTGCCAGTGGATCGCCGAACCAGTTTTAGAATAAAAATCCGATTGTGTAGAATACAGAGGGGGGGGGGGGGGGGGGCGTTAAGGGTCTCGCGTTGGTAGCTTGACAAGAAATATGCACGAACGAACCTTTGCTGAAACTTTCTGATGGTTTTTGCTTTTATTGTTGCTTGAAAGTTTAGTTCTTTTGCACACAAGACTAGTGGCTGGGGTTTAATCCCCGACTGTCATAGTTGTGATATTTATCGGCTGTAATTCTCCGTGACTGCCTCATCCCTCCAAAAAATGTTAGGTATTTTCATAATCAGGAAGGGATTGTTTTGGAAACAAAAGCCACGAGGAAAGGAAATGGACCCCTTTAAATTATGTTGTAAGCTTTCTTCTTCTTCTTTGCGTTCACCGGCTGTTATCTCAAGCGGAAAATTTGGGTTGTTCGTCCACTTCTGTACTTGGATTTGTTCCAGAGCTTGGGTGTTTCGAGAATAACAGTGTTGTACATTTATTGTATGCAGACTGTTGGTTCCTCGACTCTTAGGCATAAATATGCACTGCAACTTCAAAGGAACGGTTTCTGTTTAGTCGGTCCTTACGCCATGATTACTTGGGACAGTGGTTTTTGTACTTTTTGTTAGAGCCACCCCCCCCCCCCCCATGTCACGCACTTGGTGAGGACAACAGGAGATGAACAGTGTTTTGCCACACCAGCACAAGATAGGGGAGAGAAAGGAAAGGGTGGAAGAGGGGTCAAGAGAGAGAGAGAGAGAGAGAGAGAGAGAGAGAGAGAGAGGAAGGAGAGAGAAGAAAGCTGAACAGAATCGTTGAAAAAAAAGACGTTACAAATAAAGCAAGTGGGAAATGTATTATTGGTAGTGGAAGCAGGGACAACGCAAAAGTTAGCTGGCCGACAGTAGAGAAAGAAAGTGATGAGGTAAAAATTATGGAAGGAAGCAAGCTGGTAGAACCTGTTACTAAAGGAGAATGAAAAGGGCTAGGGAAGATAATAATGGATATTGGAGAGAGAGAGAAGGGCGGGGGAGAGCTCATTGCAGGAATTCTAGGGTAATTCAGTCTAGATGAATGATTCTGCGCCACCTGTACTGGTGCTGGTAACGCAGGTGTGGAACGCATTCACTGCCCCGCCCTTCTCCTGAGTCCTGTCCTAGATTTGTTGAGCATAATCTCATGGGCACAGACAGCAGACAGTAGAAAATAGTAGCCATCATAGGACAATGGGACTAACAACAACACTGGATACTGTGGATACATGGGGCAGGGAGACCAACAGCAACATTGGATACTGTGGATACAAGGGACAGGGAGACTAACAGCAACATTGGATACTGTGGATACATGGGACAGGGAGACCAACAGCAACATTGGATACTGTGGATACAAGGGACAGGGAGACTAACAGCAACATTGGATACTGTGGATACATGGGACAGGGAGACCAACAGCAACATTGGATACTGTAGATACAGGTGACAAGGGCAGCATCACTGGATACTGTAGATACAGGTGACAAGGGCAGCAACATTGGATACAGGTGACAAGGGCAGCATCACTGGATACTGTAGATACGGGTGACAAGGGCAGCAACACTGGATACAGGTGACAAGGGCAGCAACACTGGATACTATAGATACAGGTGACAGGCGCAGCAACACTGGATACAGGTGACAAGGGCAGCAACATTGGATACTGTGGATACATGGGACAGAGAGACCAACAGCAACATTGGATACTGTGGATACATGGGACAGGGAGACCAACAGCAACATTGGATACTGTGGATACAGGGGACAGAGAGACCAACAGCAACACTGGATACTGTGGATACATGGGACAGGGAGACCAACAGCAACACTGGATACTGTGGATACATGGGACAGGGAGACCAACAGCAACACTGGATACTGTGGATACATGGGACAGGGAGACCAACAGCAACACATCACCCATCATGTGCCGATTAGTCTATAAAAGGCCTAGCCCTATATGCCCAAAACTCCTGAAGGCATGGACAACGGTCCTTTACTTTAATTTATCAGTCTCCTTATTCTTTGTGAGCCCCCCCCCCCTATCCCCCAACTCCTCTTGTTTTCTTTATCTGTCTGTCTCCCTATCTTTCTCTCTCTCTCTCTCACTCTCTCTCTCTCTCCTCTCTCTCTCTCTCTCTCTCTCCCTCTCTCTCTCTCTCTCTCCTCTCTCTCTCTCTCCACTCTCTCTCTCTCCTCTCTCTCTCTCTCTCTCTCTCTCTCTCTCTCTCTCTCTCTCTCTCTCTCATGTACATCACTGTCAGGGATCTTAGGGGTTTAAACCCATTAAGTAGCAAGACGAGAAGACCCCGCGGTGTAGTGGCCAGCCGCTTACCTGCTTGTCCAAAGGTCGTGAGTTCAAATACGTCCCCCGTGGGATTATTAAAAATCGGCAGTGGCTTCCAGGTGGACACAGCATAAACTGGTTAGTGGGTAAATTCCTAGGGAGGCAAGGCGGCCAGCGTTATTATGTTACCTACAGCATGCCGATTTGCTTATAAAATATAGTTCTAGCCCTATATGCCCAATGCGCCTAAAGGCCTTCTGCGGTCGCTGTGAGAGGGTCAGTCAACACATTTTGGCAGTGGGTCTGTTCTTGCCCTTTGAATCTAGTTGTTCTTGATGCTGTTCTTCCCACTGTGGAAAAGACCTCTCCGTGCTCTGTGCTCATATTTCTCCAGTGTGACTTCTTGCCAGATAACCGAATCTTGTATTTGTGTTGTTGTCTAGTTAATTGTATGACACATATCAGATCTAGTAATTTCTTTATTTCAGATGAAATTGTTCTTTCTCAACCCGACAGCTTTTCTAAAAGATGTGATCGTGGTTGCTATGATTTCCGCTCATTAGTCGTGGCAAGGTTCCGTGTCTGACACTGAGAAGATAATGTGGGCCATAAATGAGTTTAGCTGTCTCGGGAATCTCCACCGTTTTGTTTCCTAACTTCAACTCATTAGCAGTTGTAATCCATTCATAACCAAAGAAAATGCAACTGCATAACTCGGGTGTGTAGATGATATGCTTCTACCGTCAAACAATGTCGAAGGATTAAAACAGGTAATCATGTCTGTCAGAAAACGCATTGAACATTGATAGTAAATTATGCGCGTTTAAAAAAATGGACAGAAAAACGAAGATAATTTCCACAGATAAGTCTACCTGTCAAGTGAAATTTTGCTATCAACAATGATTACATTGAAAGTGTCACACAGAGCCAGGGTAGGGGGACTACAATAGAGTCTGTCTAACGGAAATCCCCACAGAGGGGTCTTGGCAATGCAGAGAATGAACGCGCGACATCACAATGGCTAACAGTGGAACACAGAAACCTGTTTACCTCATGGGCACTTCAGGTGCTAAACTATTCTTGTAGGCCAGTCGGTACTCTCTGAGTTAGGCCAACATCACGCCGGCCTCCTTTACTTCCGTGCATATTGCAGTCACCCGTTTCAGGTAGGCTCGACTTTGGAGTCAAGGTCATTTTTAGACAAATTCTTTCTAATAAGACTGTCAGCCTGTGGCTAGTAGCCGGTTTCTCTGACCAGCTACCAGGACCAGGGAATTACACCTTGCTTCCAAAGATGTGTGTTGTGAACTGCATGTTCGGAAAATGACAAATGGCTTCTTATCACAGAATTTGTCGTTAACCTTATGTAGTAATGCATGTGCACCTGCTGCTTTATCGTGACTGCTGTTTCCACCAACTTAAAATAAATAGCATTTATAGGCGTTATGACCTATGGCGGCATTAGGCATTTAATTTAATGCACACTCGAGATGTTGGATTGCGCCGGACTGCTGTCAGACTGTTCACATGGGACACTGGTGGGTATCGAAAGTGGTTTTCACATAGGAGACTGATGGGTATTGTATGTGGTTTTCACATGGGAGACTGATGGGTATCGTATATGGTTTCACATGGGAGACTGATGGGTATCGTGTATGTTTTTCACATGGGAGACTGATGGGTATCGTATGTGGTTTTCACATGGGAGACTGATGGGTATCGTAGGTGGTTTTCACATGGGAGACTGATGGGTATCGTATATGGTTTTTACATGGGACACCGATAGGTATCGTATATGGTTTTCACATGGGACACTTCCCCCCCACTCTCTCTCTCTCTCTCTCTCTCTCTCTCTCTCTCTCTCTCTTAGCTCGTTTTTTTTCCATCATTTTCTCTTGTTATCTCTTCTCTTAGCATTTCCGCCTCTCTTCATCCTTCTTTTATTCTTGTCCTCTTTCCCCCTCCCCCTTGAATTCTTGGCAGGTCTGAATGTAAAATGGGCCTGCTTGCCCAATTTGTGACCCTTTAAAATTAAGATCGTTTCTCTTGTCTTTTATGTCTCTTTCCATTCTCTTTCTCCCAATCTCTCTCGCCTGCTGTATGTATGTGTGGTTGCGTGTTTGTGTGTGTGTACTCCTGTCGGAATCAGGTGACCCACATCTCTCTCGCCTACTGTGTGTATATGTCTCGCCTACAGTATGTATGTGTAGTTGCGTGTGTATACTCCTGTATGTATCTTCGAACTTACCAGTAGCCATAATACCGCAGAAAAACAAACTCTGCATTGTCTTTGACCTACCTCACTCACATGTTCACCTTTTTTTTTTCTAGCTACACACTCCCGTCCCCCTCCCCTACCTCTTTTCCTCCCGAAATTTGCAGGTGCTTCGTTGTTTCAAAATAAAGAAATTGTACTGATATCCCTGTTCATCCCCTCCTCTCTCCCTTGCTAGGTCTCTCCCTTACTCCGTCTATCCCTTGCTAGGTCCCTCCCTTACTCCGTCTCTCCCTCCCATTCTTCTACTAATCCTGCTACCCGATTCTTTGTACTTCGGATTGTTTACCTGGCACCTGGGAGAGAAGATTTGTGTGTGCTACGTCACCAAACCCCGGTGTTTATTTCTCCCTGACACGCACGTTGGTTTGTTGACAGAACAGACTCCATTGTAGCTGGGTGGTCCCGTCGGAATGTGGCCGAACGTTCTTGTTTCATTCTCGTGCGCCAGCAGTTTAGGGCTTCCTAATCATTCAAACACTTGTTCTATTTCTGTCTGTTAGTCTCTCTAACCGCCTTAAATGTTCCATTCAACAAAATTAAAGTTAAGGACATAATTTTATGCATTTCATCGCGCTGAACATTTGTTGGCTTTATATATTTATGGACCACGTTATATATTTATAGACCAAGCTATATATTTACAGACCACACTATATATTTATAGAGCACACTATATATTTACAGACCACGTTATATATTTACAGACCGCGTTATATATTTACAGACCACATTATATATTTACAGACCACGTTGTATATTTATAGATCACGTTATATATTTATAGACCACACTGTATATTTATAGACCACGCTATATATTTATTTATAGACCACACTGTATATTTATAGACCACGTTATATATTTGTAGACCACATTATATATTTAGAGACCACGTTATATATTTAGAGACCACGTTATATTTAGAGACCACACTATATGTTTATAGACCACACTATATATTTATAGACCACGTTATATATTTAGAGACCACGTTATATATTTAGAGACCACACTATATGTTTATAGACCACACTATATATTTATAGACCACGTTATATATTTATAGACCACACTATATATTTACAGACCACGTTATATATTTACAGACCGCGTTATATATTTACAGACCACATTATATATTTACAGACCACGTTGTATATTTATAGATCACGTTATATATTTAGAGACCACGTTATATATTTAGAGACCACGTTATATATTTAGAGACCACACTATATGTTTGTAGACCACACTATATATTTATAGACCACACTATATATTTAGAGACCACGTTATATATTTATAGACCACGTTATATATTTAGAGACCACACTATATGTTTATAGACCACACTATATATTTATAGACCACGTTATATATTTATAGACCACACTATATATTTATAGACCACGTTATATATGTATAGACCCCGTTCTATATTTATAGACCACTATATATTTATAGACCACACTATATATTTATAGACCGTTATATATGTATAGACCACAGTATATATTTATAGACCACACTATATATTTATAGACCACTTTATATATGTATAGACCACAGTATATATTTATAGACCACACTATATATTTATAGACCACTTTATATATTTATAGACCACACTATATATTTATAGACCGTTATATATGTATAGACCACGTTATATATTTATAGACCACACTATAGACCACGTTATATATTTATAGACCACACTATATATTTATAGACCAGGTTATATATTTTAGTCCACTTGATATATTCATAGTCAACTGGCACCTGGTGGTTGTTGTTACTCTTACACCGGTCGCCTTTACTTCCAGGTAGATTTTGAAAACATTTTCTGGTTGTCTTTATATCGACAATATTTTGTCGACGACAAAACTAGTATAATATGTCTGTTCCTGCTGAAATCTGTTGTCCATGTTGAGACATTCTGTCTGTTCCTGCTGAAATCTGTTGTCCATGTTGAGACATTCTGTCTGTTCTTGCTGATGTCTATTGTCCATGTTGAGACATTCTGTCTGTTCCTGCTGATGTCTGTTGTCCATGTTGAGACATTCTGTCTGTTCCTGCTGATGTCTGTTGTCCATGTTGAGACATTCTGTCTGTTCCTGCTGATGTCTGTTGTCCGTGTTGAGACAGGATGTATGGTGGCATCTTTCTCTAGAAACATCAGTTTCGGTACATTTTATGTGTCGTTGTTATCACAGTCAGCATTACTACGCATTGGACATTCCCACGCATGCTCAGTCCTCCGATGCAGCAGCCACTCCAAGGTAAAGTAAAGGACCCTGTTCCATGCCTGGAGGCTTATTGGGCATATAGGGCTAGACCTATGTTTTACAGACCAAACGGCATTTGGTGGGTGATCTGGTCAGCATCACGCCGGCCACCTTTACTTCACAGGACTGTACCTGGCACCCACTTCAGGCTGGGTCGACCTGGGAGCCGAGGTCATGTTTGAGAAAAGTCCGGCCTCAGCCAGGACACGCACCCACGACCTTCCGATCGGCAGGCGAACGTCTAGCCGCTAGACCACGACAGCTGCCGCCACTCTAGGATACTTCTACTAAATGTTCGTGTTAGAAGCTGGTTATGTCTTCTATCTTAGCCTCGAAGGTGGCTTTGACGTGCTTCACCATGCTTTACCCGCATGGTACGCAGTCGTGTTAGCGTCATAGATTCCTCATTATCCACCTGCCCAGTCCGTACAGCGTTGACGATATCTGCTGTGTCTATTCTTCTCCCCCACATCCGTTAGGGCTTTGCTTGTTGGTCGGCTCGTTGGTTGTGATATGTCTGGTGACTGTTGGTGGGTCTTCCTATTCTGATAACAGATATTCCCCATGTGGTTTCCGGATCCCGAACAAGCATGCCGTAGAGGTCGACTAATTGGGGTGCTTCATTCGAAGTCGGAGGCATCTGCTCGAGCGGCAAGGAACAACTAACTGCATACAAATAGCCAGTAAAAGGGTGTACACGCAAAACTCAGGCTGTGACACAAAGCTAAAGTCCAAAATGGACGAACAACCCGGAATTTCCATCGAATTACAGCCAGTAAACAAAGAAGAAGAAAAAGATAAACGATGTAGGGTAGCTTTGGTCTCCAGCAGCGCCACCTCTAGTACAGTTTCTCTGCGGGTGTTTCTTGCGATTGTATGACACATATCTACCCAGTAGCTTGTTCCTCGACGTGTGTCAGTCTTGCGATTGTATGACACATATCTACCCAGTAGCTTGTTCCCCGACGTGTGTCAGTCTTGCGATTGTATGACACATATCTACCCAGTAGCTTGTTCCTCGACGTGTGTCAGTCTTGCGATTGTATGACACATATCTACCCAGTAGCTTGTTCCCCGACGTGTGTCAGTCTTGCGATTGTATGACACATATCTACCCAGTAGCTTGTTCCTCGACGTGTGTCAGTCTTGCGATTGTATGACACATATCTACCCAGTAGCTTGTTCCCCGACGTGTGTCAGTCTTGCGATTGTATGACACATATCTACCCAGTAGCTTGTTCCTCGACGTGTCTCAGTCTTTCGTAGAATGTATCGTTTGATGTGTTGATGAAATTCTCAATATTACCCGCAGTTCAGATAAAGTATTATAATGACGACTATGAAAGTTTCATCCAACCATGAAAGTCGTCGCTGGAGTTGCAGGGTTAGTTGTCCATGCGACATTTACTGCTCCAAGTGAAGAGATGCCGAGCCCGTGAAAGGATTCTCTGGCGCCACTTGAAAACATAGTTACCTGTTGATTTTCCAGGCATAGGGACTACTGTGTGAACTGTTTTGTTTGTGTGTGGTCGGAGGGGGAGAGAGGGGGGGGGGGGTCAAGTTGAGTTGATTCAAGAACCTACATCACAGCACTCTGGGCTTTCCCATAAGCGCTCCGTCTCCATCTTCAGCAGCCAGTGAAGAGTTCCCATAATAATGGTGCCTGTAGCATTCTGATTAAACATCCGTCTTGTCTTTCCTCTGAGCCTCGAGCATCTGCCAGAACCTCTCGTCACCCCCCCCCCCCTTTTTCCTGCATCAATCTCACCAGACTGTGGTGATCCAAATGCTCCTCCGCATTGCACACGCTCTCCCACAAGGCACTAACCACGTCTGCCTTATCATGTATCAGTATTCCACCAAGTTGTGCAGAGCCAGCAATTCTGTCCGATGGTTATTTCCCAACACACCGGTGGTGGAAAACTCCAGACAATACTCCTTACCGTGTCCTCTGCAGTGAAGCATGCCACTCTGCACGAAACATGCCTGTCCTGACATTCCTCAGCATGCTTTCTGAATCAGTTAGAATCACGATGTGTGTGTGTGTCGTATTCTCTAGCCAGCGGAAAGCTGCAGTGACCGCCTTCACCTCTATTCTTGAGCTGGATATTGTGGTATCATATGCCAGGCTCTTCTGCACCAAACGTCGACCATTAACTTTTGCTAAGAAACCCCAAGCACTTCTTTTGCCTCTTGACACTGAACCGTCTGTGTAAATAATCAAATCCGTGTGGTCACGTTGATATCACATTCCGGTAACTATCACGAAAATCACCCTATCTCGTCGGGCACGAGATTTCCCACAGGCTTTCCTATGTTATAGGGATGTCATGTTTTGTTATTTTCAACACTGTAAACATTCTATATTTCACGTTATGAGCGGTCGCACGTTCTATTTTCCACATTGTGAGCGGCCGGCACGGCACTGTGTGTGTTACCTGTGTTACCCGCTATCAGTGCGGCTTCACTTGGCGCCTTGAGCTAGTACCCGCCCCAACATGTCACTAATTCTCAAACCAGTGACAGTTGCACAAGATACCTAGTTGACAGAGACAAGACAACTAGTTGAGCACTCGCTCACGCACGCGCACTCACACACACACACACACACACACGAACAGATAGTCGCTTAATGTCGTCTGCAACGAAAGAGATCCCCACACTTTCGTGTCGAGCCTCCAACGAACAGGATCAGTTTATCCGGTGTATTGACTTGGAAGGCGAAGGAACGCACTTCCTACCACTCCTACAACATAGAACAGCCCGTGGGAATCGTCACTGCATGAATGTGAGCCGGCACGAAATCTCGACCCTGATGATATAGGTTGATTGTCGTGATATGTACCCACATTCCTTGTTACCAGGGAGGAAGGTCGAGGCGGTGGATCAGGATGACGTAGGATGTTTGCAAGCCCTTTTATCGTTGGGAAGAGGTTTGAAGGATGACGCAGGATGTTTTGAAGCTCCTGTAACGTTGGGAAAGGGTTTGAAGGATACGTGTAAATTGTACTCTCTCTATCCACCCCCTCCCCCCCCCCCTCTCGCTTTCTCTCACATACCCTCTCATTATCTCTCTGTAAATTTTGTTTGATATTAATATTATGTATATTGTTACATAAACATAACAGATATTACGTCATGTCTTTGTGTGCAGACTAAACAACACTCCTTTTTGTTCACACACCACGTCACGACTTTAACGGGCTTACGTCGAGGATGTTTATCAATAGACATACTGATATACTGACAAACACACACAGACTTATCGATAGACCAACTTACACACCAACTTACTAACTTACCAAAAGACACGCTCGGAAGGAGATGAGAAAGAGAGAGAGAGAGAGAGAGAGAGAGAGAGAGAGAGAGAGAGAGAGAGAGAGAGAGAGAGAGAGAGAGAGATGCGCGCAGCATCAAGATGTTTGTGTGCCGGGCTGACTTGTTATCAGAGATTCCACAAGGAACGACGGGATCCGGTTTCCTCGGCCTGTGTGGCAGCGGGCTCGCCGTATCGGCCACATCCGGCATATCTTACTTGTCGTCTGCTCAACTTGTCGCCAGTAGCATCTGTTTTCTTCCTGTTTGTTTCTTACGTTCTGTCTCTTTCTTTCCTAGCGCCCGTCCCCCACTCCCACCCACTCGCTGACTATTTCTGTGTATTTTCTTTGCTGTTCAGGTTATCTATAGGTATTTGTTATGTAAACATAGCAGATGTGTATACAATTGCAGCACGAACGATGAGAGTTTGCAAGGGCCCAATGTAAGACTTGCATGTCTGCCCAGTTTTAACCCTTTAAAAATAAAGTACTTTCGTGTGTTCGTTCCTTCCCCCCCCCCTCCTCTTCCTTTCTCTGGCTCCCTCTCACTTTCCTTTCTTTATCTAAGCCTGAACATTTAAAGGCCGTCGCCGATGTTACCGAGTTAGTACAGCAGTTCAGACTGTAATGTAGACCATGACAAGGTAGCAAGCAACCACCAGGAGGTGGGAGGCCTTCATCTGGCTGAAGTCTTTGAGATGTTCAATAGAAACAACAATAGTGATAACAATATGTGCTGAACAGCAGCAACAACAAAAGTTATAATATTGTTGAGCTATTGCAGTAAAACGTTTTTAACACAACTTTCAAGGGGCCCAAAATTGAGTTCTTGTTAAACAGTTCGTACTAACAGGATAACAATAACACGTCTCTGCTGGAACCACAGATGTATTCATGTTCGTTTTAAGCGGGTTCACGTTAACGACGTATTGCTGAACTTAAAAAGCTAACGTCTGTAGTTGCTGTAAAAGGTGGAAAGGAGAGGGGGGGGGGGAGCTTAGCCCTGGGGTGCACCTCCAGAAGGAAATTCGGAGGGGAGGCGGCCCTTATCGGAATGAAGTATCCCCAATGATACGACATTATTATTATTATTACTGTTATTATTATTTTACGCCGAGTGGCTAGTCAGTGGTATAATGTAATTGAACAAGTGCAAACATTAACTTAACAGAAGAAATGTATACCTAGCCAGGTGAACATTTAGCGCTCTAGAGCATTAAGATGTTGGAAGGAAGACAGCCCTGTAAAAACTACCGGAAAGTGGCGCCATACACACAAATTATGTTGGGGGGGGGGGGGTTGTTGTTCCTCAAGAGCTAACAAGGCCAGGTTGCAGCGCCTATAAACCGCGATCATTTCAATCTCCCGTATTCTGCACAGACACAGATGAATTATTATTTGCATTTGATTAATCTGTTGTAGTTTTCTAATGCTGTGAATATTTGTGTCTTTCCAGAGGGAGGCCGACTCGAACAGGAATTAAGGTATGTCAAGGACACGGTCGGAGTCGACTCTGGGACCAGTTTTGAACTGATTATTCAGACTCCAAAGAAAGGGATCAGTCTCTTAAATATGGAATCTCTCATGTTGCATTTTCAAGCTGTGCTGGCAGCAACCAAGATCAAAGTGGACATTGATGGGCTGTGAGTTGTTGTTGTATTCATATTGTGTAACGTTGATGAGCTGCGCGTTGTTGTTGTTGTTGTATTCATGTTGTGTAACATTGATGGACTGTTGTTGTTGTATTCATGTTGTGTAACATTGATGGACTGCGCGTTGTTGTTGTATTCATGTTGTGTAACATTGATGGACTGCGCGTTGTTGTTGTATTCATGTTGTGTAACATTGATGGACTGCGCGTTGTTGTTGTATTCATGTTGTGTAACATTGATGGACTGTTGTTGTTGTATTCATGTTGTGTAACATTGATGGACTGCGCGTTGTTGTTGTATTCATGTTGTGTAACATTGATGGACTGCGCGTTGTTGTTGTTGTATTCATGTTGTGTAACATTGATGGGCTGTTGTTGTTGTATTCATGTTGTGTAACATTGATGGACTGCGCGTTGTTGTTGTATTCATGTTGTGTAACATTGATGGGCTGTTGTTGTTGTATTCATGTTGTGTAACATTGATGGACTGCGCGTTGTTGTTGTATTCATGTTGTGTAACATTGATGGACTGCGCGTTGTTGTTGTTGTTGTATTCATGTTGTGTAACATTGATGGACTGTTGTTGTTGTATTCATGTTGTGTAACATTGATGGACTGCGCGTTGTTGTTGTATTCATGTTGTGTAACATTGATGGACTGCGCGTTGTTGTTGTTGTTGTTGTTGTATTCATGTTGTGTGACATTGATGGACTGTTGTTGTTGTATTCATGTTGTGTAACATTGATGGACTGCGCGTTGTTGTTGTATTCATGTTGTGTAACATTGATGGACTGCGCGTTGTTGTTGTTGTATTCATGTTGTGTAACATTGATGGGCTGTTGTTGTTGTATTCATGTTGTGTAACATTGATGGCCTGCCTGCGCGTTGTTGTTGTTGTATTCATGTTGTGTAACATTGATGGACTGTTGTTGTTGTATTCATGTTGTGTAACATTGATGGACGGCGCGTTGTTGTTGTATTCATGTTTTGTAACATTGATGGGCTGCGCGTTGTTGTTGTTGTATTCATGTTGTGTAACATTGATGGGCTGCGCGTTGTTATTGTTGTATTCATGTTGTGTAACATTGATGGACTGCGCGTTGTTGTTGTTGTATTCATATTGTGTAACATTGATGGGCTGTGCATTGTTGTTGTTGTGTTCATGTTTTGTAACATTGATGGGCTGTGCGTTGTTGTTGTTGTATTCATGTTGTGTAACATTGATGGGCTGCGCGTTGTTATTGTTGTATTCATGTTGTGTAACATTGATGGGCTGTGCATTGTTGTTGTTGTATTCATGTTGTGTAACATTGATGGGCTGTGCGTTGTTGTTGTTGTATTCATGTTGTGTAACATTGATGGGCTGTGCATTGTTGTTGTTGTATTCATGTTGTGTAACATTGATGGGCTGTGCATTGTTGTTGTTGTATTCATGTTGTGTAACATTGATGGGCTGTGCATTGTTGTTGTTGTATTCATGTTGTGTAACATTGATGGGCTGTGCATTGTTGTTGTTGTATTCATGTTGTGTAACATTGATGGGCTGTGCATTGTTATTGTTGTATTCATGTTGTGTAACATTGATGGGCTGTGCATTGTTGTTGCTGTATTCATGTTGTGTAACATTGATGGGCTGTGCATTGTTGTTGTTGTATTCATGTTGTGTAACATTGATGGACTGTTGTTGTTGTATTCATATTGTGTAACATTGATGGGCTGTGCATTGTTGTTGTATTCATGTTGTAACTTTGATGGACTGTGAGTTGTTGTATTCATGTTGTGGAACATTGATGGACTGTGAGTTGTTGTTGTTGTGTTCATGTTGTGTAACAATAGTGGGCTGTGAGTTGTTTTTGTATTTATGTTGTGTAACATTGATGGGCTGCGCGTTGTTATTGTTGTATTCAAGTTTTGTAACATTGATGGGCTGTGCGTTGTTGTTGTTGTATTCATGTTGTGTAACATTGATGGGCTGCGCGTTGTTGTTGTTGTATTCATTTTGTGTAACATTGAAGGCCTGCGAGTTGTTGTTGTTGTATTCATGTTGTGTAACATTGATGGGTTGTGCGTTGTTGTTGTATTCATGTTGTGTAACATTGATGGGTTGTGCGTTGTTGTTGTATTCATGTTGTGTAACATTGATGGACTGCGCGTTGTTGTTGTTGTATTCATGTTGTGTAACATTGATGGACTGCGCGTTGTTGTTGTTGTATTCATATTGTGTAACATTGATGGACTGTGAGTTGTTGTATTCATGTTGTGGAACATTGATGGACTGCGCGTTTATAGTTGTATTAATGTTGGAACATCAATGGACTTGTATTAACGACACAGCGTAGACTGGCTGTGATTTGTTATATTTATCTTTAGTAAATAGAAACAACTCTTATCTACCACGACAAAAGTAAAGTTGTTATGTTATGATGTTCTATTCTTAGTTACTTCGGAGTCGATATTAGTGCATTTTTAATATCTATACTGTAAAACTGAAAATCGCTTTGTCCGTCTGTGGCCTGTTACAATAATTCCTCCCTAACTGTGAGCCGCAGAGTTTTGAAATTTGCCGATATAATTCTGGCTTCAATTTCTGGGTCAGCTTTAGTGTGTGCAACAAGGTTCCTACGTATTTCTGATAAATAACATCACAATCACGCAAAGTTTACGTTCACTGTAGTGATCTCCCTTGAATATCTACGTGTTTTATGTCCCTTGAATGAAAAAAAGGGTCACCATATCTCGCTGTTATCTGCCTTCGTACATTAAGTCTGGACAGTAAATATTGTGAAGAGCCGTGAAAGAGTAGTGGCTAGACAAGTGTTCCCCACTATAGGTGATACCTCCTTCTTCGGGGGGGGGGGGGGGGGAGGGGGTAGCTTTGTGGGTTAATGTGTGGAGGAATGGAACGACATAAGTGGAGGTAAGAGTCTCACGTGCAATTAGGGGCAATGACTAAACAAGCATCAGCGGGGGAGACGAATCTGAATTAGAGGACAGGAGAGTAACATTATGTGTCACTGTCCCAGGCGAGGCTGGGAAATTAATTCTTATTTATATTGTTTGACGCCATATTATGGATATCAGTCCAATATGAGCAGATCTTCTATAACCTGTTCAACCCTGTAAAACTGCTGCTATAATCAGGGGACGCCCTCGCCTGCTCGCAGTACGACCTTACTGCCCTCTGTCGGTGACGGGTTGAACCTTAGCCACGCGGACTTTGATGTACCTGACTGCCCTCTGTCGGTGACGGGTTGAACCTTAGCCAGGCGGACTTTGATGTACCTTACTGCCCTCTGTTGTTGACGGACTCAACCTTAGCCACACGGAACAGGTCGGTTTTGGGGTTCACATTGTTCTGTGATTTTGTAACTTTCTGTTTTCCCTGACGGAGTCCCACCTGAAGGTTTGCTGACCTCTTTCGTTTCAAGAATCGTATCCAGGCCAAATTCCAGTGCAACCTTGAAGAAAATAATAATATCGGTTATATTTGCGATAGCTGGAGAAAGCAAAGTATTCTTTCGTACTTGGTGGATAGAGGATTGGTTCTCTCTGTGTAATTACAGTTAGTTGACATTGACATTCAAGAAGGTATGCGTGACGTCATGTTTGTGGGAAAATATTCTCCCATACTATCTGTGCCTTTCGACCTGGCGTCTCCGTCTTCAATGTGCTTTTCTTTCAGGATGTGCTTCCTTAGCCCCAAAACTGTATGGTACACGGGAGGATATGGATTGCACGAAGCTTTCATAAGGGCTACCGGCCTCCTGATATAAATTTTCTGACAGAAGGATCGAAGAAGAAGAAGAAGACAGGTGGTTCTTCTTCTTCGGTGATCCCTATAAAGTGTTGGTGTTTACATATAGGCTGCGATAGCTATGCCTTTTGTACCGGTACATCAAACTGTTTTACAGCATGCTTGATAGGAAAAGGTAGTGGGTGGCTGATCTATTGTTATTGCCCCCAAACAAGGGATTTGTGAAAAACCTCAGGGGTTTGGAATACAATGTGCCTGGTAGATTGAAGCCTTACTGGCTGTAGTATTTCATGTTCATACTCACATGTAGAGCTTGTATGGGACTTGTCGATTGCAGAACTTGGAACTTCCGGGAAATTTGCTACACTGCTGAATTCCCTGTCACAGAACAGTTCATTGTGGATACGGTAAGCACAGCTTTAGATTCAACTCATTTGTTGGTGTCTCTCCAGCTGCAGCTCTCGGAAGTTAAATCTCTCTCTCTCTCTCGCTCTCTCTCTCTCTCTCTCTCTCTCTCTCTCTCTCTATCTATCTGCCTCTCCCCCTTTGACTCTCTCCTTCTCCTTCTATATTCCTCTGTCTCTTCTTTTTACTGTATGTTTCTCTCATGTCTGCAACAACCGGCTAGACGCAAGCCGATGACAGGTTTGACACAATCCAACAACCGGCTAGACACAATCCAACAACCGGTTAGACACAATCCAACAACCGGCTAGACACAATCCAACAACCGGCTAGACGCAAGCCAACAACCGGCTAGATACACGCCAACAAACGGCTAGACACAAGGCAGCAGCCGACCATGTACACGCCAACAAACGGCTAGACACAAACCAACGTCCGGCTAGATACACGCCAACAAACGGTTAGACACAAACCAACGTCCGGCTAGATACACGCCAACAAACGGTTAGACACAAACCAACGTCCAGCTAGATACACGCCAACAAACGGCTAGACACAAACCAACGTCCGGCTAGATACACGCCAACAAACGGCTAGATGCAAGCCAACAAATGGCTAGACGCAAGCCAACAAACGGCTAGACACAAACCAACGTCCGGCTAAATGCGCTCCAACAAACGGCTAGACGCAAGCCAACAGTTGACTATACACAAGCCAACGGCCGGTTAGACACAAGGCAACGACCGGCTAAATGCGCTCCAACAAACGGCTAGACGCAAGCCAACGACAAGCTAGACACATGCCAACACTCAAGATCCAGTTGACGATTAAATGCCTAAGAGCACGCTTTTGTTAAACAGGCCTTGGATTCTCTGCCTCTTAGAGGTGTTGAGTACCTGAGTCAACTTGAGAGCACATTCTGCAAGAGTACCGAGAATCTTAGAGGTGTTGAGTACCTGAGTCAACTTGAGAGCACATTCTGCAAGAGTACCGAGAATCTTGGAGGTGTTGAGTACCTGAGTCAACTTGAGAGCACATTCTGCAAGAGTACCGAGAATCTTGGAGGTGTTGAGTACCTGAGTCAACTTGAGAGCACATTCTGCAAGAGTACCGAGAATCTTGGAGGTGTTGAGTACCTGAGTCAACTTGAGAGCACATTCTGCAAGAGTACCGAGAATCTTGGAGGTGTTGAGTACCTGAGTCAACTTGAGAGCACATTCTGCAAGAGTACCGAGAATCTTGGAGGTGTTGAGTACCTGAGTCAACTTGAGAGCACATTCTGCAAGAGTACCGAGAATCTTGGAGGTGTTGAGTACCTGAGTCAACTTGAGAGCACATTCTGCAAGAGTACCGAGAATCTTGGAGGTGTTGAGTACCTGAGTCAACTAGAGAGCACATTCTGCAAGAGTACCGAGAATCTTGGAGGTGTTAAGAACCTGAGTCAACTTGAGAGCACATTCTGCAAGAGTACCGAGAATTTGCCATCTTTGGACTGTAAATATGGCATCAAGAGTAACTGTGCCTGACAGATGACGAGAGACTAGTATGGAAGCTAGGGCCGTATTCTATCGTTGATCCAAGTTGTATTGTTTTCCGTTGCTATAACCTTTCTGGGTTTTTCTCACGTCTTGATCTATACTACCACACTTGCATATCTTTTTTTCTTCTTGGCCTGCAAATGGAGAGGGGACACCTCTCTCTCTCTCTCTCTCTCTCTCTCTCTCTCTCTCTCTCTCTCTCTCTCTCTCTCTCTCTCTCTCTCTCTCACACACACACACCACACCACACACATAAACACATTCACCACCACAAACAACAAGACAGTATCTTTTGTCTCTTAACGTTGCAGTTCTAGACAAGACTTGCAACTTAGAACAGGGGAAACAAACATGACAAAGACGCCACAAGTGAATACGACCGTAGCCAAGAGGCAATGTGAGATACAATTCTGTCTTTGTGCACTTTGTAGTTTCCCGGTGGGGAAATGGTTATATTGTGCTTACTGTACCACACGGAAGATGATTGACTGTACCACAGGCCTGTGAGTTTACTTCGCCACACAGAAGATGATTGACTGTACCACAGGCCTGTGAGTTTTCTTCGCCATACAGAAGATGATTGACTGTACCACAGGCCTGTGAGTTTACTTCGCCACACAGAAGATGATTGACTGCACCACAGGCCTGTGAGTTTTCTTCGCCACACAGAAGATGATTGACTGTACCACAGGCCTGTGAATTTTCTTCGCCATACAGAAGATGATTGACTGTACCACAGGCCTGTGAGTTTTCTTCGCCACACAGAAGATGATTGACTGTACCACAGGCCTGTGAGTTTACTTCGCCATACAGAAGATGATTGACTGTACCACAGGCCTGTGAGTTTACTTCGCCACACAGAAGATGATTGACTGTACCACAGGCCTGTGAGTTTTCTTCGCCACACAGAAGATGGCTTACTGTACCGCACAGAGGGATTTTACTACACTACACGAAAACATTCTTACTGTACCGCACAGAGGGATTTTACTACACTACACGAAAACATTCTTACTGTACCGCACAGGGATTTTACTACACTACACGAAAACATTCTTACTGTACCGCACAGAGGGATTTTACTACACTACACGAAAACATTCTTACTGTACCACTTGCGAAGGAGTTTACTGTACCACACGGATGAGGGCTTATTGTACCACGCGGATGAGTTCTTATTGTACCACACGGATGAGGGCTTATTGTACCACACGGATGAGTTCTTATTGTACCACACGGATGAGGGCTTTTTGTACTACACGGATGAGGGCTTATTGTACTACACGGATGAGGGCTTATTGTACTACACGGATGAGGGCTTTTTGTACTACACGGATGAGGGCTTTTTGTACCACACGGATGAGGGCTTTTTGTACCACACGGATGAGGGCTTATTGTACCACACGGATGAGGGCTTACTGTACCACACGGATGAGGGCTTACTGTACCACGCGGATGAGGGCTTACTGTACCACACGGATGAGGGCTTTTTGTACCACACGGATGAGGGCTTATTGTACCACACGGATGAGGGCTTACTGTACCACACGGATGAGGGCTTACTGTACCACGCGGCTAAAGGTTTATTGTACAACACAGAAGAGGAGGCTGCAGGCATACAGGGAATTAAAAGATCTATAGAAAAAGTGATTTTTTTTTAAATGTTCTAGCTGGGGAGTGACGAGAGGTTCTGGCAGATGCTCGAGGCTCAAAGCAAAATGGACGTTTAATCACACGCTACTGGCACCATTAGTATCGGAACTGTTCGCTGGCTGCTGAAGATGGAGACGCGGCACTTATGGGAATGCCCCTAGTGCTGTGATGTCGGTTCTTAGATCAAATCAAATCAATGTTCCCGCAAATTATTATCCTATGGTGGCGTGATAATTAGAATAACCACCAGCCAAGGCAGTTGTCCTGATTCGATTCCCAGCAGAGAGATAAGGAAAGGTTACATCAGAAAAACTCTACAACCGTATGAAGTGTCTGTGTATGTTCTTCACAACCAGAATCGCCACAATCAGAATCTTCCTGAAACCTCACATTTGTGAACAAGGAAGATCAGAAAGAGTAGACATGGTAAAGGTGAAAGTTATAAACCATAAGTGCTCGGCCACCAGTACGGACAGCTAAGAAACTACAGCGGCATTTCTCCATTTACCCTAGAGTGTCAACTCTGGTACCCACTTCCTAGAGGCTGGGTAAACCCCGGGAACCGCCCGGTTTCGAACACCAAACATGGGCTGCAGCGACTCGCAGCTGGATTTGAAAGCGAGTATCGTATAGACTACGCTAACACAGCCTCCAGAAAGTAGAGTAGACATGGTTTGGACAGACAGGTTTTGGGGAGGGCACACACACACGCACGCCCGTGCACACACACACACTGACACACACACTGACACACACAAAGCCGGTGAGACTCACTGACTGCTGTTTCATTAGGGCCTTCTAGGCCTTATGGGGGCTGATGACCAGACGAGAAATAAGACTGCCTCCTCTTGTTCCATGTCAATTCTGACTTGTTGTTTGGTCCTTTCTGAAAGTTGTTGTTTGGACCTTTCTGAAAGTTGTTGTTTGGACCTTTCTGAAAGTTGTTGTTTGGACCTTTCTGAAAGTTGTTGTTTGGACCTTTCTGAAAGTTGTTGTTTGGACCTTTCTGAAAGTTGTTGTTTGGACCTTTCTGAAAGTTGTTGTTTGGACCTTTCTGAAAGTTGTTGTTTGGACCTTTCTAAAAGTTGTTGTTTGGACCTTTCTGAAAGTTGTTGTTTGGACCTTTCTGAAAGTTGTTGTTTGGACCTTTCTGAAAGTTGTTGTTTGAATCTTTCTGAAAGTTGCTGTTTGGACCTTTCTGAAAGTTGTTGTTTGGACCTTTCTGAAAGTTGTTGTTTGGACCTTTCTGAAAGTTGTTGTTTGGACCTTTCTGAAAGTTGTTGTTTGGGCCTTTCTGATAGTTGTTGTTTGGACCTTTCTGAAAGTTGTTGTTTGGACCTTTCTGAAAGTTGTTGTTTGGACTTTTCTGGAAGTTGTTGACCTGTTGCAGATTCTGGAAGGTATCCTGCCCTGCGTCATCATCACCCCCATGGACTGTTTCTGGGAAGGTTCGCGGCTCCTGGGTCCGGATCATCCGGTCATGACGGGGTAAGTTTGTGTTCGTGTCCTCTCCAGAACTTGGCGATTTTTTGGGGAGATATGGTGGGCACTTAACAATGAATTGAGATTTCAATTGAGATCGCAGTGCCTCGTTTGTCATGTCTGGCACCGAGAAGGACGAACTAGTTGTCATTGTCTTTTTGGAAAAATGTTGCAATAAAATGATGGTGTTGCTGATACTGATTGATTTTAATATCCGAATACCTCATCTGTTGCAGCCTCTAGGAAACTTAGATCTGCAGTCTGAGGTCAGACTACGACCAGATCGTAAGAAAGCAAAAGGAGAGACATTAGAGGAGAAGAATGAAGTGGAGGTGGACTAGAAGAAAGTGGATAAG